ACGGGTCAAATCCGTTTACCAAAAATAACCGCGTTCTAGCCGAGACGGCAGTTTCCAATCATTTCCATACACTAATTGATTTCTTGAACAATCCTTTTTTGGCAGATTTAATTCTATAGACATAGGTTTTTGGTCGTGAACATTCGTACGCCCGGAAAACTGGCTTTTTATACCATAGTCCGACCTTCTCAAGCCGAACTTTACGTACTCGTATATAGCCGGGACCAGGAATAATACTCGAGGTAGGAGGTTTTGAGCAAGAAAAAAAAACACTTTGTTGCGGGAAAGAACAAAGAATTACAGGGAATTGGAATTGGTGATATTCTTGACCTTAAATTGCTTCTTAAATGAGTTAACAGGATGCTGACACTTTAAGGCAAAGGTTTTTTCGCCCATCTTAGTCTTTCACTTCTTTAAAAAAAAATCAAGTTACATTTTTATTGTTTTTCGTTTTCCTGCATCAATAATTTTTAAAAAATAGCCAAAAGGCCTTCAGAGAATTCGAGTAACGGAGGTTTGAGGAGAAAAGCCTTTGAGTTGTAGAAAGGTTTTCAATGCAGTCTTTCCAAAGCATTTCAAACGGGTACTTCTAGAAATAATTTTTGAAATACTGTAATAGGGCTGTATTCGACTTCGGAAGGTTCGAGTTATATCGCGCAGTTTAACTGTAAACCAGGAAGGCATCTCTTCCTTCATTATCGAAGGAAAAATAGAAGCACTCATTAACTGATCAATATATCTGATATTGTTATATTGAGCAACCCTGACCTATACTGGCGACATCTGAATAATAAAAATGATTGTGCGGATGAGAAACTGGAAGCATTTCAGTGAGGCCTTCCTACAGAAAAAAGAACCCTACGCTTGGAGCATGGTGCATTCCATGCTCCATCGTACAACATAGTATGGGCTCCACGCCCTCACTATAGATATACAGTATTACAGACGTATATTACATACGTCTGGTCCAAATTTACTCCGCCATTATATATCCGTTCTCAACAAAACAATTTTGGAAGAATTTTTTCTTTTTCAGCCGAAGAAATATGCCTCAAAATATACAGTACTGCATTGTAAGACTATTAAACCGGTGTGGCAGTCCGGAGCATCCGCTGTCCGGACCGTCCGGCCGGACAGTCCCGCCTAGTCAGGACCGTCCGGTCGGACATTCCTGCCGCCGTCAGGACTGTCCAGGCCCCAGTCAGGAGTGTCCGGCCCCCAGTCAGGAGCGTCCGGTCCCCAGTCAGGGATGTCCAGGGATAAAAAAAAATCTCTGAAGCTTCTGCTGCCCAGATATGCTGTACAGCAGGATACAAAACATTTTCACAAACTATCAAGAAAGCATGAAGTGGGTACAGCAGCAAAAACACTTTAATTTCATTTTATTAAAATGTCCCTAAAAACAGAAACAACTTGGTTGAAGAGGTTTCCTGGATTTTCACATATTCCTGGTAAATATGTGGGTTCTTTGACCTTTTTCACTTCAGGGTATCTAAAGAATAAAAAATATTGGAAAACAAGCAAAATTCAGTGCATCAAAAATATGCCTCAAAATGCATTGTTTTGAAAATTTCGCAAAAAGATAATTTTTTATAATTTCTAGAACAGGTCAAATTTCATTTTAACAAATACTGTTATAAAATATTTTTTTGAAGGTCCTGACAGAAACACTGTTGACAATATTAATGTAATCTTTAATATTGTTTAAAACTTCTAAGTCCTATCGTTTAACTAAAAATCCGTTAAAAATAAATAAAGTGGAATATAAAGTGATTTAAAAGATCGAATAACGAGTTTTCAAAGGTAAGACAAATACTTACCTTCAACATGAATTTTCTCCTTCTGCTGTTATAAATCATCAATTCTGCAAGAATACTACAATTTACTCTGAAATTGTAAGTTGAAATTGTCTAAAATTTTCCATTAAAATTGATTTTTTTCTAAGGTCCCCCCAGAAGTTTGTTTTAACAGAATTTAATCTGTATCATTGGTTTCAAGGAAAAATTGCTGGGACCATCCAAAAAATTTGTTAAAACAAAAACCTGTTATAACCAGATTCATTGTAGCAATATATTCTACTGCATTTCTTGTACTGAATTGATATTTGAAAAATGAAAAATTATTATTGGTAATTCAACTGGTTGTTCAGCATCATGTATAGGAAGCTGCTGTACATTGGAGCACCCTCTTTTCATTATTGTTCTGACGAAGGAACACCATGGAAGGAAGAAGGTTTATCTCCTACTAGAAGAATGTGTCAACAAGTATAGGAAAACGTCGGTAAATATTATTAATTCAACTATTTACAATTATAACCATCCTTCTAATAATGACAAGAATTTCAAATGAAAAATTGAAGATCAGTATTTATTGCTTAGCCCTTACTTGGTTTAGAAAAGTACACCCAGAAAGTTCAATCCCGGACACTCCTGACTGGCAGCTGGACACTCCTGACTGGGGGCCGGACGCTCCGGACTGAGGGTCGGACGCTCCCAACTAGGTGAGAGTGTCCGGCCGGACGCTCCTGCCTACCCGGACGCTCGCGACTCCTACATTTGAGGACGTACTGTACTTCAAATTTGGGGATTGGAAGTGCATTACAATATTTAAATGTTAATTCAGCAGGTCCTGCTTAAAACTTCACGCGGAATCGGAAGCACTCGTGAGATTATATTCAGTACAGTACAATGCAGATGGATCCATATTTGATTCATCAAATCCATTATTCATCAAGACTGATCCTCTGCTGATTGCTGGACATTATTGAAAGAAAAACTTGCCTTTTATTGTTGCGTGACCGACGATCAAACGTGTCCAGCTTGGAGGCAGCTGTTGCGAAACTGCATCAGCAGAAGTATACTGTATCTCATCTGATCATCTCATAAAATCATAAATAATACAATTTGAGAGCATACACAGTGCTGAATCTCGTGCTACAAATTTGACTTTCTGAGCTACTGAAATCCGCCTTTTGGCACCCATGGAACGAGTGTACTCTTCAAAAATGAATCCAAACCTTTAGCGCCCTCCAAGCTTACGATCATAAAAATGCAACAGCAACTACCGTAACTGCGCGAGAACTTAATTGTTTCTAAAAAAAAAAGTGGAAAAACTCACGTAAAATTTGAGCATTCCTTTCCATATCACATGGCACGATGATCGAAGGGAGGGCATTTCTCCCCCTTGGGCAACAGCATAATGGTATTATCACAGAAGACATTTTCGCAGCACTTTCTGTTCACACGATATGTTCAAATTACCTTCACTCAGGGCCTGCTGCTGTTTCGCCCTACGGTGGATCACCCAGAATTCGGAAGATGCCGTGATTTGAGCTTCGAATAATCTGCGAGCACATCTCTATATAGGATCATATTTTCATCCTGTCAAAATTTAAAAGCGTATCATATGGAGCCGGATCAAAATACGTTGACCAAAAGAAGATATACAAGTCATATACGCGCGTAACAAATTGAATATACAGTACAGTAGTCGTAAATCCACATGATTCAAAACGAATTTATTTCCCCTTCAAATTTCACTCATACATATCGCGAGATAAAAACCTCGACCCGTACATGTTACAAAATATATATCTGCCATACGAACAAGGTTAAGGTAAAAGGATTAGTGCGTTTTATGTCTGCGTGGATTGCATTATCCCACTTTGGAACATCACATTATATGCAATGAAATCAGGCCATCTAAGGTACGATAATCCAAGGAGTATCTTGATTACTGTACATTCATTTATTTCAACATCCCCGCCCAGACCTCGCCCCCCTTTTTTTTTAACATGGAAGAATCCGCCTCCACGCATCAGTGGATTTTTTATCCCTTCAAGTCCATCTCTGAATAAGTTCTTAATTCAAGTACTGTATTTAATTTAATGCTGTGCAGTATTTCGCAAAGCCGGGACAGAATGTAAATGTGTGAAAGAAATAAACAAATTTAAAATAAAAGCATTTATTCAAGAACTGAATTTCCATTTCTACCTGAGCTGTGCTCGAAAATTGGACATGTACTACTGTCAATCATTCGAATTCGTTCGGCCAGCACAGTTCAAGTCGGGTAAGCCTGAAGTATTCTCGAAAATCGAGCGAGAACAATGAAGGCGTCACGGACATGAAAGTGTCCTTTCGTTTCGGATAACTGCATCCAAACGGCGATTATGTACTGTTCTTGTTGCACTGGAAAGATAAATGATGAAGTAGAAAAAAAGATCGATCCAACAAAATGCGTGTAAGATATTGAACATGATAAAAATAAGATTTTATTTTTCAAGTTTTCAAGGTTTCATGCAAACAAAATTAATATAGAAATTAACAAGTAGATTTTTTCTGCGTCACTCCGCAAAATTTTGATTGTTGAAAAATTAAATACTCGACGTACAGCAGTGACCATGAACTTAGACCAGCTCAACATACACTTTTCATCAGTGGCGTCTCGGTTTACTGAACGCACATTGATTGCAATAGCTAACACGAATGAGAATTTTTCAGCCAAAAATAAATAAGCTGCACAATTTTTTTTCATGAAAACAAATACTTTTTACTGCTCTTGAATGCGTTGAACACGGCTCTATTTACTTTTTCCGAAGTGCTTTTTTTCTGCGTCAGAAAGTTGAAGAAATTTGTGTTTGAGTTTGAGTTGCCCAAGCTTTTAAAGCTTAAACTAGAACGCGTGTAGTATATAATTCAACAGTGCTAAGCCGATATACACTCTAATATTCATACCTAACATATAGGGTGCGAACTTCGGGTGTAATCCATTCGATTTTTGGCTCAAGAAACCCAAACGGGAGGGGGAAAAAGAAAAACATCCTCCACGAAAATTTTCAAAACACATCAACACTACCTTCCCACGCGAGTCAGGACAGACGTGAGCCTTCGGACGGAGCGACGTCGTCTTCATCACTCCTCCTATCGAGAAACGATGGAGAAAAAAGGTCCAGTCTTCGTGAAAATGATAAGTCTACGCATACAGCCGTAGGAAAATGCGATTTTTCAGAAAAAAAAAATCGCAGGGCAGTTTCTCTGCCCTTTGTCATCTCGGGTCTCGTTCATCAGTTCGAGTCCTTTGCTCCGAGATGCTTGGATACGCGTTCAGTGCAGGGTGCTTTCTGATATGCCTGAGTAGCGTGGATTCTATTCTCATAGAATTCGTTCCACGAATTCAACAGCCAGGTATAAAATTCTGAAATCAATATGACGCAAACACGGGTTATTCTGAAACCTGTAAAATAGATAGACGCTGCAATCGTTAGAAATGGCAATCGTTCCACGCTATAGAGTTGACGTGATGCGCAAAAATTATTTATGCTGACGAGATTCTTCACAAAAATGGAAGATGCTGCATAAATCCTAGAACTGTTTTTGGAAAGTAATTTGAACAGAAGTCCCAATTGAAAATATGCATTCTGCCCTTGCCTGGAGTCCTAAGAATATTTTAAATCATGTGCAACTTCCACGATATTTTGTGTTTCTCTTACCAAGAAATCCTTTGTCGATGATCATTGAACCGCAAATGTTTAGTCTCTGAATATTCCGCATAATATTACTTTTCACATATAAAACGTTCAACACACATTTCAATCGTTCACATGAGAAAGAAGGCCCGAAAACCTTGCCAAAAACAAAAATCCTGCTAATGTATCTGCATCAGTCAAAGCCTCTTTTGATACCTACAGTAGAAAATGGTGAGCAGACGAAGTCTGATTTTTATTGAACAAGTATACAGGCAGATTGGAAGTGAAATTTCAATCCAAATCTGAAATGGACCGTACATTATTGATAGAATAAACAAAACGAAAAAAGGTCAGAAATTCTCTCATGTCTTCAATATTTCCATCAGAAGTCTATGGACAGTTGCTCCAATTATGTGGTCTCCATCTTTTTTTGAAATTCAATCCCTGTTTTAAACACCTTTATATGCTATTGATGAATTTGACAGAAATATGGAAGGATTACTTACAAATAATGTTTGACCTAATGTGTTTCGTTGATATTATTTATGAAGATTGAAAGAGAATTTACACATGAATTGCATTTACATACTTGTTCAATTCTTCAGAATTTGTCTAAACTCACCATTACCAACTTTTGTTATCATAAAGACTATTTCTGATGCATAAATTCACGTTGTGGGATTTTTGTACCACTTCCTGAATTTTAAGGTCAACGGGATTTACTCATCGAGTACCGGATTTTGTGCCCCAGCACATTTTTAGAAATACGGGAAGAGTTATAGACTGATGGAAACTTAGAATTAATTCAAGAACAAGATATGACCGGATTGCAACTTCTACAAAACTACAGTATCCCTACTCTGATACAAAAATTACTGAATACGTAAAATATTCAACCTAATACAGCACAAGATAAAATATTTTCTATTTCAATCTCTATAAGCACAACAAATATTCTACGTTATCCATTTAGATTTTTAAAAAGTCAGTCCATTACTCAGAAAAATAATCGGATACCCAATGTTTCTTTTTGAACACAAGCAATAAAAAACCGAAATAATTAACGCAGGTAACTAAACCATTGCTCAACTTGCTGGAGCATATGGCCCCCAACTTACCCCAAAGGATGCGTTTTTCGGTATTTCCTCCAACCTTAATTTTCTTGTGGATCAATGGTCTCATCCCCCGCGGCTGTTTCTCAGCCAAGCTGAAGGTTTCCATCAACAGTAGGCACATATTAGGAGTAGGGACATCGGAAAATTAAGATTTCGAAAATGCGGAGTCAAGTTATCAAGAGAAAATCGGTATAATGAGCTAAAAATAGAGCTTTAATTCAATTCAATTCTCATTAGCTCGTATTGCCAGCAGAGAAATGAGATATAAAAAGGTAAAAATCCTTTTCAGTCATGGGGTACCAAGAATTGCAAGCAGATGACTCTACGTTCACAGAAAAGCCGATATTTTTAAAGCTTCTCGGAAGAACTGGAGAGCATCATACAATCGCACTGATGCCCAACGTGGTCGTTGATTTGGGCAACCTATTGGACGGTGTGAACACGAAGCCATTCTCCCAAAATCCCGAGTTTCCCTTCACTCTTCCGAAACCTCCGGAAATAAAGCAGCCCGCAAAGATGCCGCTTTCTCCACTTCTACCGGAAACCTTCGATCACAGTCCGAAACTTCCGGTGGATAATTCATTCCCTCTACAAAACCAGTTCGACGAAATTGCGAAGACGGAAAGTATGCAGGCACAAATCCAAACACAACCGAGTTTTCAAAACAAACCTCCAGAAATGCTTAGAATCATCGATCACCGTCCGGCAATTCTCGTGGAGGACTCAATCCCTCGATCATACGCGTTCGACAAAATTGCGACCCAAGCTTGGTCCACTGAGTACACTCTTAAGCCTCAAAACGCGTTCCAACAGCCACATGTACACGACAAGCAGGACAACCGTCAAGATCCTCAATCGCAACGTGATCAATCTCCGCAAATCAATCAACAACAAAATATCCCACAGAATACACATCGAAGCATGGATCCACAAATCAGAAAAAATATCATCCCCACGGTAACCCATCTTTCATTCTCAATCGGAGCAGATGAAAGCGGTAGCAACCCACCAACATCACGAACCGTGTATGGAAATTTCAAAGAAGAAGTCGCTCCCTACGCAACGAAAAATTACCCGCCGACGACGCAGATTTTCTCCAGAGATTTCAGGGAGGAAATCCCTTCCAACACAATGAAGAATTACCCACCAGAGACGTCAACTTGGCTTAGTGCAAGAAACGTCCCAGTGGAAGTATTCACACCGGAGAAGACGAAAGTGAACGAACCAGTAATTATCCCAACTCTTAAAACACAACAACAGAATTTCGTACTCATCCCGCAGCTCGTTTGGAATCACGAACACGAAAGGATACCAACAAAAGAAATACCCGTGACAAACAGAACAACAGAAGCAATGAGCAAAAGACCGCCGATGTTGTCAACTTCATCGCAATTACACAACCAAATGAACATCACAGAAATGCATAAGTTGGCACAATTGCACACCTTGCAGGCAGAGGCTGGCAAACGCAATGAATTATTCAGGATGTCAGAAGGGGCAGAAGGAAGCAAAAAACTGCAAACTGTGTTTTCAACGACTGGTGAGCTCAGCAAAATTCGTAATACCCGTCGTACATAGGGGAATACGTAGGTTCGGGAAATACGTTATACTGTACTGTACAAGGGTCTGTGAAAGTTCAGTTCAATCCCGCGCTTTTCCGGACACGGTCCATTCTTAAAGGCCGAAGAACAATGCGAGTTGAGAGCGCATCTTCGGTCTATTTCACAAAACAACCAAGTAATTATTGATGACAATTTTTGCGATATTCTTTCGTTCGTTGAAATTCCACAGCCAAAAACCGATTTTTTTTCATGACCCTGACCGGCAAAATACTGCACTGAAATAAAGCCTGCTTTTTAAAAATCTTAATCACGACTCGAGGGGAAGCAAAAAGAAATCCAGAATAAAAATTGTGAACGATACTGAGGGAACTTCACCTTGTCAACTACATCCGTCTTTTTGTAAAAAAAAAATAAAATAAACTGAAGACTTTTATAAAAAATTCACCAATTCGACGCAAAAAAAAGCTATCGCGTTTTTCACAAAGTTTTTGTGTACTCGGAAGCGTTTCAGTTTACTACAATTCCTTATTCGAAACATTGGTCAATAATACAGGTAAACTCTCAGAAAATACAACCAAAATTTCAAAAAATTGCTGAAAATACTTCTGACGATTTGCAGAGGGGTCCACAACGCGAATAACGAGGCCAACGGAAGGCAAATCCCAGGGATGGCAGCAAACTTTTTCGGTTACAGAACGGAGCGCAGAAGCAACAATAACGTATTCGGGGAACTTGAAGAATGGAACGAAGTTACTCAATGAATCTAAGGTGAAGGCCGTCGCTCCGGTTGAGAGAATCGGATTCAGTCCACAGTCACGACTGCCAGAAGTCAGGACAACGACGACAATCCCTGACCCAATCTCGACATGGAGAGACATAAACAATGACTTCAAAGAACCAGTGTTTCAGAAGGTACTAAATAACCAAATGGAGACCACTACGACTAAAACCAAGAACCCTTCGACCAGAGGCAACATGTCTTCTGAGACAACCAAACCAAACGAATATTCATGGTATAGGATCAAAAAGACGGCTGGAAGATCCCCTAGATCGACGTTTGAAACGAAAACTGCAGAACAAAGCAAGTTGAACAAGGAGAACGTTAGAGAACTGCTAATTCGAGTTATTCAACATGGACTTGACTTTAAATCCGAACTGGAAAATGCCGCCCGGCGAAACGCCACATCGCAAAGAACGACAATTCAATCGACCACGAAAGTTTACAGCGTAGAACGGCTAAAGCCGGAGCAAGTGAAGACAAAGCAGCAAAAGGCGCTAAAAAACGCAAAATCCGGGAATATTTGGCCGCTTCGAAACAGGAAAAAGTTTGATAAAACCATTAACAAGAAAAAACTAGGAAATTTCGCTTGAACTGTGAGAAGTGGAAGAGAAGGTTATTCTTCCGTAGCTAAAATACAAAATATCCCGCTCATTGAAGACTATTTCGGATACAGTTCAGCAGGAGAGGAATATTTTCAAGGGAAGAGGCAATTCACATCACCTCGGAAAATGTATAGGAAAACGTAGAACCGAATAAAAAAAAATGTTAATGCGAGGATTCTGGCTCACGTTGAGCAGTTTTTGAAGATGACATTTCCGAAATAAGAATTTGAATAATTACGGTCGCAAACGAGCGGGCTCACAAACTTTTTCTCCGATTCTTTAGACGGGTTCAGAATCTATCAAAAAGCCTCTGGGAACAAGGGACCGTCAAATTCGTCGCGCGCTTCCGATTTCTGCTGAATAAAAACGTTTAAAATGAATACTCTCACAATTTTGCAGTTCTTTGTGTCAAATATTCAGCGAGTCTTTACTAGATCACGGAACATGATATTCGACCCGTCGCTAAATAACTAAATAATCACCACTGCGGATTTTCCTACGTCGCCACGAGAAAATCTCTCGTTCCTTCACCCGTCAATAGGAATCATCGTCATCTGAAATTAGTCGAAAATCGAAATATTGCATAGAACAGAAATGATTGAAAGAAGTTCAATAAATAATATTTCAATCGAAAAATAAAGCCTTGCAGAGTTCAACTTACGTAAAAGATAAATTTTGAATGGGAAAAAATTATATTATTCAAGACATGGATGAAAGCACACAATCATTCCGTCTGGATATAACATTTTGTTCTTACTACAGTAGTATTAAAAGTTCAAGCGTCACACTTCAAAAAATGTGCAAGACTGAAAATTTGTTAGAAACTGGAAAACTTCCACAGATGCCAAGCGCAGCTCCGAATCAAAAATTCTTTTAAAAAACGTATCGGGGCAATTATCACAGCAATAGATAGCGACACATACTGTAGTATGTTTTCATTCGATAAACCTGGAATGAACAATTGAACATGAAAGCTTACCCGATTCACTGCCTGAATACTGAACACTGTCTTTTCTTGGTCTCCGACGCCGGGACTCAGTACCATCCCCTTGGGGTCGGTTCTCCGATGCCTTTTCTTTCCTGTACCTCCTCCAACTAAGCTCTTCTCCATTGCTATCAAGATGAGGCCGCGACGACCCCGGCGAAAGCTTTCCGTTGCTCATTTTCACCCATAGCACACACACATATACACAGATGACGGAAAGGAAGAATTGTATGAGCAACCAGGCCAAAATATTGAGCAGGATCGTGCGGGCAAATAGCTCTTTCCCGAACTTTATGCATGCTAAAGCTTCCGTGAACATTATGGCACCGTAAACCCAGCACTGCGTTCCGACTCTCTTGCATCGCGTGTCCGTAACATAGCAGTAATACTGAAATATAAAAATTAAAAAAAAATTATAAAACGTGCAACTGTCGTCGTGAACAAAAAGGAATATGGAAATTCGATGAACAAAATTCCTGAAAACGTCACATAACTATTGATTCACACGTTTTGTTAATGCTTTCTGAATACCAAAACAAAAAATCATGGAACAAAAATGCTTTTTTCAAGTTAAGCAATAAAAGACCGTCAATTCGTTCATCTTAAATTGCCTCACTATGGTCCTCGAGGAAAATACCACGCACTTTAAAATCTATGGATAGAAAAATTCTGGAAGTTGAGCCAGAATCTTTCGGAAAAGCGTTTCAATAGCCGGACTTCAACTAAGCTTTCTCGTCGTTAGCCGAGGAGTGTTTTCGATTGGAGCCCGATATTTCGCAATTTGTTTAAGAAAAATCTACATTTTAATAGACTGTAGAACATGTAAATTTAGAGTCATTAAGCGAAGTTTTCGAATCTATACGGATACATACCTTGGTTATTGCCCTTTAATGATTTTCATTTCTGTGAAATATTTGGCAAAAAATTCCGTAACCTACCAATTCACGAAGGATGCCAATGTGCACCAAACAAACAAGGAAAAGGCTCACGTTTCCTCTAGGAATTCTTTAATTTGAATCTGAGCTGCATACATAAAAAAATATTTAGGAATCAATATTAATCCATCAGAAATATCATTTCTTTAAATTTTTTATTTTCTGAGGCAGGACATTCCTTCATGCTACGACGCTTTCGAAGAGAGCGTCGAAGCACATGCGGTACTTTTTTTCAATCCCTAGACAAATACTTCACAATGAATGAATTCATTCAAAGACGTACTTGACGGACGGAAGGTGCGACGACGAGAGTGATGATGGTCAGCCTGATGAGTACAAGAGGATGGTTTGGCGGCATTTCGAAAATGTGCTTGATGAAGAAGGTATTTAGTTCGGTGAGTTGCCAGAAAACAACGAGCTGGCAGATGCCCAGAAACCGCATATACGAGCAATTAGGATCCATCCAACGCACATGCGTCCACGACTCCGGCGTGAATTGCAGAACGCATCTAGTCAACTTCCGTTTAGCTCCTCGAATATCCCTTTCGTGAAAAATAAATGAAGCTTCACATTTTCAACCCATCAAAATTCAACACAAGTAATACAGGCAGGAAACTCACTTCACACTTTCCCAGTGATAGTCCCGCATTTCAAGCCACTTGCAAATTTGCATGCCCACGTAAATTCCAAATCCATTGCACAGCAACACGTCCAAGATTAAGGCATCCCACCAGCATTCAACAAAATTTGGCAACAGGTGCGCAAAGGCTACTTCCGTTATCTCCCACATGAAGGATATTGTCCATAAGATCCCGTAGTGACGCACAAGCATCGCCTTGAGGACCCAACCAAAAAAATGGCCCGCAGCGAACACGTCAATATAGCTCCAGATTCTTTCCACTGTTACGTTCCAACAATTTGTTCCATATTCCTAAAAAGGAGGGAAGGAACAATTCATAAAAAGCAAGAATTATACCACGAAACGCTTCAGAAAAAGCGGATGTATGGCAGGAGAATCGAAAGACTGTCTGGTTTGAGGAAGGCTTAAAATAATACAAGCACAACCGGAATCAAATTTGACCATTCAACAGGATAATTCGAATTTGCAGAGGAAATCACTTTCCAAAATATTTACCACTTTTTCGTAATTCACCTTGTAGATGACGCGTACTTTTTCTGACACAGCAGAGCAAAAAAATCAACGCGTTGCTTGTAACGTACTTGTCTGCATTCATTCAATCGGTTTCGGTGGATTATGGATGACTCATCAATTCTAAGAAACATCCCATTCATTGGAATTCACTGTACTACGCTATCTATGACAAAAATTCCGTCCTGAAACTGCAAAATTCCCAATTCCAAGATACAATACCGAAACCAAAAGACAGAAAGTCATCACAAACTCAAGCAGAGAAAAAGAACGAGACAAAACAAGCACCTTTTCCATGTCAATCCGGAAGTCCTTGAGATCCGGGAACAGCCAAACAATCGCTGCCCTGATTGTTTTGTAGTCTTGGAAGATCGCGAACAACAAGATGAGTAGATACAAGACGGAAAGTCCGAAGACAATTCGCCATACAGCTGGATGCGGACGCGTAAAAGGTCCGTTGGGAAAGGCCAGGACGGATATGACCAGGAAGAAAAATACCACGCACAGGAAGCCAGCTCGGATATTTTCTTCCAACCCTCGCCCATCATCCCTGCGCATTAATTCATCAACTAAAACCCTCATTTCACACCCACACTGGTCAAATACTGTATTTATTTCCCATTTTTCATTGAAGAAGCACCGGACAAACCCAACCCTCACAACACAATGTCCGGAACCGCTTCGACTCCGTGACCTTGGTTTTTCATGAACCGTCCAGAACTTACTCGAATGACCCGCCCTTCATAATAATTTTTCTCATTGCTCAATGGATTGAATACGCAGTAACTCACCTCGTGAGAGCAACGTAGACAAGGAATGACACGGACAGAAGAAGAAGCGTAATAGTATGGGGTCTATAGAAGAACTTGATCGAGATCTCGTCCACTGGCCGTTCATTGATGTAGTGAAAATGGTCCGAATCGACCGTGAGACTTCCTTCTTTAGTCCCCATAATCGACAAGAACTGAAATCGCATAAAAAGGAGAGCAATTTTATACAGTATAAAGAAGTTGAAAATTCACGCAATTGATACTTACTCATTTCGAGATCACGAATTCAGCTTTGAAATTCCAGACAGGTTTCAGCGACCATCACTTACATAGCGAAAGAACAATACCCTGTTGCACATGTGAAAATTCACGAAATACACTGTTTCTGCATAAGAGAAAATGAATGAAGAATGACACTTTCCAACGTCTGAGAATAAAAAAAGAATTTTCTCCTCGAATTTCCGCATATATTTGTTTTACAATGCTGAGAATAGAAGAAATGATCTTTTCACATCAGCGGATCTTCAACCGCTTGAAACGAGCAAGAAACGGATCCTCGTTTATTCCCAATCATCACTCCTCACCCGCTCCATCTTTCTTGTCCACTGTTTGCTGCTGTGTGAATTTCGGGTACTTCGCTTCAACTTCTTTCCACGTAGTCCTACCATCCGACAAATCCGAGACGACTCTAGCTAAATCCTCCAACTAAAAGAATACAAAAATATGTTTTACACCTGGAAATGGATTGGGAGCAGAAAAACTTACAGGAAGCCTTATTTGGTCCATGGAATCTCGTTCACGGAGTGTGACTGTCGCTGGAGAGATTCTAACCGAGTCAAAATCAATGGTGACTCCGAACGGGATCGCAACTTCGTCGGTTCTCGCGTATCGTTTACCAATCGATCCACTAGCGTCATCAATCTTGTGCGAAACCCCAGCTTTTCTCAGTTCATTGGCTAGAAAAAGAAACGAAAACAGGTAAGTTTGATTGCTGATGAAACACTACTTCAACCGACAGTTATTAGATCCCGGGATAATCGGAGTTTATTCCGACGAGGGAAAATCTTCAACTAAATGCTGTATTTAATTTCGAATACTGCACTGCGTATAAGAATCTATTTACCGGCGGACTGGACGAACAACGTCAATAAAATACAGTTTTTCATTTAGTCGTTATCATTCAATAGAAATGAAGTTAGGAACAGTTTTCCAGAGGATGTCGCAGTTCCACCGAAAGGTCAACAATTTTCACTTCGCTTTCCCGAGCAATGTAAACTTTTGGTTCCCCAGGTAGGCCAGGATTTTCAATCTTTTCGATTTTTGTTTCATTTTTTTACACGAATTTTACATGTAAAAGGTAAAGCCGCGCGTAAATATTCAATTACTTTTAACTTTCCATGACTTACAAAGAGACTGGACCAGCGGTTGCAGTTCGTCAGCACCGCTGAGCGGCAATACGCTGCACTTGAACGGCGCAACAATTGCAGGCAATGTGAAGTACTGCAGAATAAATTCATCCATCGACATTAAAAATTATAGTTCATTAAGCAAAGAGAGAAAGCATTACGCACCCCTCGCTGTTCGTCTTCATCCCTGACCTTGTAGGAATGTTCCAACAACGAGTATATTATTCTACCAATTCCAAAAGACGGTTCGATAACCGAAGGAACGAATTCTTCCACGCTTATCTTCTCTTGAATTTCGGATATTTTTATCATTTCCTTCGTGATTTCGAAGTCTTCATCGTTCACAGTAACTTTTGAAGTTCTAAAAATCAAGGACACGTAAATGTACAGATAAAGTAAAAAAAAAAAGTGAAGGCGAGATCAACACTCACCCGCTCGTCTCCAATTCTTCTTTCAGCCTCTTTCCTTCCTCCTTATCCAAACTTTCGATCTTCTCAAGAACAACCTTTGCTTTGGCTTTAAACGTCTTTCCAAGAAGTTGCTTATTTGGTGTCACCTCTGCAACGTTAAATCACAACAAATATTCGTATCATAAAAATTTGGGAAGTCAATTCTTATACTGTAAGTGTACGGGCATTATAAAAGCTATCAATGAAATTATTCCACCGACTTCAGATTGGCATTTGAAGTTTAAATTTATTTCGACTACCGTAGTTCAAATCACAAAGAAATTTTAACAAAATTGACCGGGCATTCCTCAATAAGAGGAACGCTTCGATAATTCAACAGAAATTTGTGACACCACATTTTTCAAGCCCGGCCAAATTCGTTATTTTTACAGGATTATGCAGCAAAAACAATCTTTCGGACCAAATTTTGTCGATAAGTGTGCTTGGTACTCGAGTAAAAGCGCTCAGTTGAAGTCGAGAAAAAATTCTGAAAAAGGACTTTTTCCCTGCAGCCTCCAAAGAAGAAATGCCCATATTAACCATCTTCACCGAAAACAGCAATGACTCACTGAGTACATCGACCATCACAGGTTCCGGCAAGCTTTTTTCGGCACAAAGCTTCGTTTTCGAGGCTTTGGTGTGCTGAGTAAGATCATACGCACTCCGGTCAGCACATCCAACGCATTCCACCCATCCATAAGAAGTTTTTATTTCCGCATCCCAGCAGTCACAAGCATAATGAGCCATTTCGTTGCCCATATGTTGTCGTAAGCGCAATCTTGCAGGATCAATACCGATTCTTTCCAAGAACATGTGCAATCTCGCCAAATAGTAGCCAAGAGTCTGGTTAGCAACCAGTTTCTACGAATAAATATTGCAACAATAATACAGTAAGCCATGGAAGTGCAATTCAAATCGATGAACAAAAATATCACGGACATTTAAACTAAATTCACCGAATTTGCTCAAATACGCCGTGCGTTAAGAAAAATTCAGAGTGAAAAAGGTTTGGATTGAACTCGTAAAGAATCACGCAAAAACAGCATGTCACAGAAAAAAATGAAAAGATCACGAGTAGGAAAGAATCAAAACCCGTGAAGCGAAAACCAAAATCAACTTTTTGAGGTCTGGCACATGAGATTCGATTTTTTCTTGTTGAGAGTATGAACTTCTGAGACCTGCTTTTCCCAAGAGGAGAATTCACACGATTTCAAACAACGCCGCACTGTTCCATAAATCATAAGTTTAAAGTACCCTGAAGCGAAACCTTGAATTCCGCGAAGCTTTCCGATGACATGTTTCAAGCACCACTTCTACAACTAGGCATGCGTACTTGTATTTTCCAGAAACTAAAAAGGAGAGATTCATCTTTTTCTATGTCAGAAAATGACCTTACGGAGTCGACGGCTTCACCGAAGGTCAGTTGAGCAGGTGGCTGTCCATCCATCTGGTTGCAGGCAGAGAAGAAAGTTGCCTTTCGATCTCTCACTTGGTAAAATTTCGGATGATCTTTGTTAGTCGGATCGCAGAAATGTTCAATTTCACCCATGGTGAATTCACGGACTCGAATCAAACCAGATCTCGGTGAGATTTCATTGCGGAATGCGTTGCCGATTTGGGCCGCGGCAAAAGGCAATTTTCCTTGATTGAACTCAAGAAGCTTCTTGAAATTAACAAAAATTCCCTGCGCAGTTTCGGGCCGTAAAAACCTATCAATAAACATGAAAAATGAAATGACCATTGCAAGAGTAAAATTTTTGCTCGGAAGTACCCTTTGTAGTTTCCCGTTGGTCCAATTTCAGTTTGGAACATAAGGTTGAATTCCATGGGATCGGAGACGGGATTCCCTGTTGTAGGACTCTTCATGTCATACTCACGCAGGATATCTTTCATTTCTTCCATGCTCATGCCATCGAGCTTAAAAATACATACAATACAGTACATAATTTGAATCATCTAGGATACTCGTCTAAAAAAGAAACACCAACTCTGGTAGATATGGAAACATATTTGGCTTTCGCTTCCGCAGTGGCTTTTTTATCAGCACCCAACTTTTCCAGATGACCTTTTATGAGATGATCCAAGCGGAAACATTCGCCAGTTTTTGTGTCTTTGACCATATAATCGGAGAATCTATCCACGTGACCGGACGCTCTGAAAAATACGTCCATGAAACCCGAAATAAAAAATGCGTTCTGCAGGTGAAATGCTTTCAGAATCTCACTTAAGCACAGGTTCCGGAGTTAAAATCGAGCAATCCACTTCCAACATGCCTTCTTCGAGAATAAAGAAGTCTCTCCACTCCTTCAACACGTTTGCTTTCAGAGCACAACCCACCGGGCCCATGTCATAAAGTCCTCCGACACCTGTTTCAATGACACCTTTTTACGAATAAAAGTCAATAAAAAATAATAAAAGGAACTCGCCTCCATAAATAGAAAATGATTGCATATAGAAAAATCTTCGTTTCAACAACTCCTCCATCTTGATCCTGTCAAACTTTGACTCCTGCTCACTGCTACTCGGAGTGAGTTCCATGACTTTGTCTTCGAGCAGTTTCCGTCGGTGCTTGAGCTCAGTGACGGCTTCTGCTATGTCCAGTGCTGGAGCTCCGTTTGCTTTCAGCTCACGTATCTTATCACCCTACGTAAATCATGAAGCCGAAGTGAAAGATCAAACCATTGACTCAACTGCGATTGATGAGCAACAATTCAATACACGAGGGATGGTTCAAAAAGTTTTGAGGTCAGCATGAAGTAAAGTTATTCAATTACTTGGGGCTTCGACGTGAAAATTTTCAAAACCATTCATCAAAAATAAGATTTACTGAGAATTTTCTTCGATTGAAAGCCCTGAATTAGTCTCCTCTCTTTTCAACTGTTTACACTTCCGTTCGATCTTTATCATCCGGGCACAGTATAGCAAGATGTGGGCTTTTTATTCGATTTTTGGGCTCATTTTCACACCAAAGGAGAAAATTCTGCGTGGCTTTCTTCAGCACTGTTATTTTCTGTAACTTGAAAAAGAGAAACAATGTCTTCTTCCATTTTTGGGGACTTCTTCCTAATTTTAGATAAACAGGAGAACCAAGTAAATGTGCTTTCATTGAAATGATTGAAGTGTATGGGATAACGTGATCTGAAGTGCGGACGTTCCGACATAATGACCAGGTCCCAGCACTAATTACGTCCGCATCCCGGGCTTCACTTTAATAATCTCGAAAAATTGACTACTCCCACCTCTACCCATCGAACAATGCTGCGATAAAAAAGAAAAAATGAACGCAAAAGCTTGAGAAACCGTTTGAACCAGTCCCTTTATGCTGATTTGAATACGTACCTGTTCCTTGACTTTTGCTCGAAATGGCGTGACAAGAGCTTCTAGCTCGGGGGGCAACACTGCGTCAGCCATCGTGCTCGCTGCTTGCGTTGGACGCCGCTTGAACTTACTCTGCGCAAATTTTTTACACAATCAAGATAACGAAATGCCGATGACGACGCCTGGAACGTATTCGAAGACATTCTCTAATGAACACCAACGGCTACTGTATCGCGCAGGTGAAAATCCTAGCAAATCTCATGAAACGCACTTTTAGCGGAGCGGACTTTGGAATTGCTGCAGAGGACGCGAATTTGCGAGGAGCCCTCCACGCGGAAACGGCTGCATTGTTCAACCGGACACACACGACTCGAAAAAAACTCGACACCATGAATTCTGAAATGAAGAGAACTGTGGTGACATCACAAAATGCAGCACATATCCAAGAAGATAAGCGCATCACGATTCAAATAAATGTTCCTTCCAAACGTACTCCTCACAATTCGTGAGGTAACCAACCGATAAATCTATCGCTTTCGAAGTACAGTCTATGAATCCTCCAAGACTGCACTTCTGTATGGAAACGGACAGCTCAACACTGCGATTTACTGCACTGATTTTCAACTTTTCTAGAAGTTCAAAATCAATTTCGCTTCCCCTGATACGAGGATTTTTCTTTTTTCGGAAAACGAATACCGGTATTCTGAGAGCAGCGGGAATTACTGTAGTTTGCAATGTTTTTCTAACAAATCGACAAAACTTGACATAAATAACCTCAATATCACAAGCACGAACACAGACTGACACCGTCCCAAACGTATATTTCTTTGCTGACCACAAATGAACCCTGAAGTTTCCCATCGATAAAACCACAATCGCAAAGCTCAAAGTTCCCACTGAAAATATCTTGCGAGAGATCACGAAATACCCTGAATGCATAACCGATTCTCACACAAAAATCAAAATACGCTCGAACAATGTTCGCATCGAAACAAAATACGCTGAAAGTTCAATGAACAACAAATGACGTCCAAGTAAATTACTGACTAAAAAAGTATGCTGTGATCTGGCTGAATTGAAATAAGCATAAAATGCAAAAATAAAGTCACAAAATCGACAGAAAACATTCCACGGAATAAAGAACGGCAGCCGTGTCTTCCTCGAAAAAGGCAAAGTAACGACTTCTTCGGAATCGGATCTCAACCGAAAAAGTTGTATGATCCGATATAATATCACTCGAATCTGCATGAGGTTGCACAGCTCGTTTTGTAATTGTACATGGAATGATGATAGATACAAACGTCGTTTTTGAGCAAGACACTTATTATAAAGGAACTTTGATCCTCAGTCCAATATAAAATGAAGCACGAGAATACAATAAGAGAAGAACAATAGTAAGCTCAGAATAAGAAATCTGATCCTCGCATTTTTCGTGACAATCGTGTGCATATCTTCACAGCCAGCGACCAGCAATTCACCTAATCCAAGGCAACGACTGACGATAATTTCACATTTCCGCACTTCGCTCATACTAAACAAAACCGCTTTCATTAAATGCTCGGAAGTCGATGTCATCGTCGAGCGAATCGATACGATCTCTCCTACTTCTTCTGCAGGTTTCACACTTGTGCTCTCATGTATGCAGAAACTCACGGAATTTTCGAAAAGCTGGATTGAACCCAGCTGGGTTAGAATGTCGTCGATGAAACGCAAGGCCTCTTCGTCTCCGAGTTTCGCCAGATCCAAACCTTTCCGCCGAACGTATTCTACTTGCAATTCAGCCACACGCTTCAGCGACGTCGGTGATAGATAAAGCGCCGGTTCCGATACAACGAAGTCGTGAAAATCGAACATTGCTCGATTCACTTCAGCACGAATACTGATTATGCTGGTATCACTAGATTTCATCAGATTTGATGGAATTATATTGAACGACAGTTGCTTCGCCGATGGAAGAAGTTCCCCATGAACCTTCGTCGCAGCATTGTAAATGCTTCCACTTTCACGTAAGCCCTTTATTTCACATGAGCCTTTTTCATAACCTGCAGGAAAGGTCACGCATATTCGGTTAGTTTTGCGTATATTGAACAAAAGGTCACCGAGCATTTCCGCACACCTGAAAGTTTATTGGGCAAGTTTCCCAAGTGCGCCTCAGGCGAATACGGCAACTTACGCGAAGTACCGAGCGGACATTAAAAAAATATACGAACTCGATTAAAGAACTGAATAACCGTCGGAAAGAATGCTTTCACGCATTGAAAAAGAACATAAAAATGACAATTATTGATAGATGCCTACGTTCGCGGTGCTTCGAAGAATCGACGAAAAAATATTACTTCGATGAACGCAGAAGAGGGCTCAGACGCAAATTTGATCGACTGAGAGAAGCCGAAACATCAAAAACTGCGAAGAATTTTAAAAGCTACTTTGAGTCATCTTCGTCAGCAAGAGACTTGAACAAAGCGGAAGCCATGGCTTTCACATCATTTCGGACACTGCAAGCAATTTCACGACGATCCAGCAACATCTGCAAATAGTCTACACCCAAGTCTTCAAGATCTGTCGCACACGTTGCTTCTCGCAGAATTGTAGAGACCATGGTTTCGTAATTCATTCCAGATACTTGAACCTCTTGATCGTCAGCTTCACCGTCGGAATCTTCAGCTTCACTATCTTCATCTCCGTCTCCTTCGGAGTCAAGACCCAGGGGATCAAACAAAAACCCTTTTGACGTACGCTTCGCTACAGTTTGATTTTCCACTTTGAATTCATCCGTCATTTTACGTTTATTTCCCGCAAAAGCTTTCTCCACCGAGTCGTGAACACGTTCAGGAATCGCGGCGCGCGCTTTTTCATAGGCAGGGTCGTGGAAATCATGCTTCGGTTCGGCCACCAACTTTTGTAACCGGCTTTTCTTATTGGCGGCAACCTTTTCTTCCCTGGAAAAAATAAGATGAATCAATGGTGAAAAACTAAGTAACACGTCATTTCAGCCGAAAGGATCATGGCAAATTCGAACGAATTCAGCAAAACATTTTCCGATTCTGGAGAACTCATCACAATTTTTAACTGACCTTTCCGCCTGCTTCGCAAGCCACTCTTTCAATCGTCGCTCTTCGTTAATATCCCTCAACCGTCTTCCACTCAGATCTCGACAGGCTTCTTTGTTTGTTGTTTTCTCGATCTGTGCTCCGATAGCCCGGAGCATAGACCCAAAACCACCTTTTCCCCCGCGCAACCGCATCCGGATTTGTAAGAACGAACCATCTGAAAGTGAAGATATATTATCAGGTCATGTCAATCACTGATTAACAATCTTTTTTATATTTACCTTCAATTATATCTTCTGGAAGCAGATATCTTGTTTTATACGTGACATAATACATGTTCGGGGGTAATTCAGCATCCAGTAATTTAAAAATATCAGCGCCTCGCTGGACATTTTCCAAGCATCTCGTGGGGACTGCCACAAAGTGCTTCAGGTAACAAGGCATTATACCAATAAAAGAAGTACGAATCCTGAAAAAAAAAACGCAATAAAAATACATTCTAATCGAACACCTGCGACAACAAAGTAATCAAGAACAAGCCATTCCCACGATTTATTTCTTCTTATGGCCGGAGTTCATCACAACGAACACTACAAAAAGGTCGCTCAAAAATTATCACAACGGAGGGAGAGAATAGCTTCCATTCGTTTTTCTTCCGTCACCTGCGGGTAGAAAAAAATCTAAGTGCATCGTTGGAAAGGATTTTCTGCAAAATTTTCAGTCGTCACACTTGCAGAAGAAAAATCTTTGAAAAACCGGTTCAGGATTTTTTGAAAATTTAAGCCATTAGGACAATCGGAGACACAAATCACAAGTATTTTAGGAACTATTGAAAATTTGATTTTAAATTGCCTTCAGTATTTATATGGACGAAGTTACTCCAAATAAAAATAAATCGTATGAAATGAGAAATTACCCGAGTCACATGTAATCCACATGTATCGATCCAATATGTCTACCAGGAACCATAGCCAATCCCAGGTTACGGGGTTCGTCTCCATCTTGTTCTGACTCGGCGCTTAAATATTCTCTGCTAGATCCAAGGATGACGTTCGCCTGTTGATCCGTGCACAAGAAAATGCCGATGATCACCCTATTGTCACTCAGCACAATCCTCATAGGTTTGTTCAACCACTTGTAAAAGGCTGCACGCGCATTTTTCCCGGCTTCTGAACTGCCGCAAATATCTACCGTTTCTAAAGCACTCATTCTACACTCAGGCAAAAATTAAAAATGGTGAGGCAATCGTACATCAAAAAAGAGAGTGAAAGGAATAAAAAAAGATGAACATGCCTTATAAAACTCTGGATCACGAGAGGCGTGAATGTCTTTCACTCGTCTCTATGCATTTAAAATGCGCAGGGCAATTGTGGTGGATACAACGACGTAGTGTCAAGGAAAAAACTGGACTTCGTTAATCTATGACTAAATTTCTGGAAATAACGAAACCTTGCATTGCAAAGCGACTGGAGTCCCAATATTCAAAACGCACAAACCCTGGTTTGTCACTCATCACAATAAAAGCAATCAAGAGCCCACACCCGATCCCTCGAAAAAACAATGTTGTTTTGTCTTCTAAATTGGCATTTAGCAGCACCCACACCTTCAGTCAGCAATTCGAACAAGTTTCTTTCATCAGCCTCACTGGATTTAACGGGGTCACAGCAACAGAAGAGAAGTTTGAATATGTGATAACAAACAACCTTGAAAATTTCTTTTGGTTAATCATGCAGAAGCCCACGAGAGAATTTTTTCATTCCTCCAACCCCCTAGCGAAGATCCAACAAAATTCCTTCTTCACTCCGACTTGTCTCCATGGCCTTTGGCCAAGTCTTTGATTTTCTCGATGTTTGAGTCAATGACGTGTCCGTGCTTCAAAAAGACTGGACGAATGATCTTGTGGTAAATGACTATCGATCCATTCATAGGAAGAGGAGCGAAGCACCAGATCAGGAACGCACACTGAAATATAAATTAAAAACGGTGAAAAACAGCTGAAATTACAATTATGAAAATATACGGAATATGCATCCCGAAATTAAACGCGCTTGCGGAGTGAACAGAATGGATAATCGTACATCACATAGGTATTGTATTTCAAGTGGAATCAAGGTCACAGTTAAGATTGATAAAACTTAATCGATGAGACATACCCTAAGAAGTATAAACTCACGTATCAAGCCATTCAAGCGCACGTTTTTTCGAAAGTGAGAGAAAAAGAGGGTGCGTGATATAGGTAGATACAATTTACAAATTTTTAAAAATTTGGGGCATCTGATTCTGGTTTCTAACAGAATTTTCAACCAAGTTCTACTAACAAATTCAAAATTGGAAATGATAAAAATTTAAAATTCAACTTCACTAATGCGAGTCGAAATTTAAATTCCGATGCATTTTGTTTCGAAATATTTCATTTTTCAGTCTCTAAAAATGGGGCGCACGTCTTACTTAATACATTTTTATTCAAATTTTATGCTGAACATTTTGGGTGCGAGCCTTTCTCAAGGGCGCGTGTTACTTAAGTACTTACGGTAATAGGCAATTATTTTGAGCAATGATAACAGTTAGTTCATGAAACTAGGGTTTAAATCATCATAATTTTCAACAGATGAACTCTCTAGTCCACACCAATCTTTTCGGAATAGCGAGTTTTTGTTAGTGCCATAGTGTTCTCTCCCCAAGTTATAGGGGCTCTCCGAGACAAATTTTCTTTGGTCCCTTGAATTTCGTCGTAGAGAGAGTCCTCCCGTAATCACTTTCCATATTATTGCAATATCAAACAAGCAACTGTTGCAGAAGGGCATGCCAAAGTTATCTTAGCCAAAATATGGAAGACCTAAACAAATCAACATAAAAATGGATCAAAGTAAGTTTACCTTGACAAGCCAGTAGACGGGAAACCACGATAGGAGGATGTCGGAGAAGAATTCCAGTATCGAGAACACAGCAAATACGACCCAGTAGGTAAGCCACTTGGTGTCGTCGTCAGTGCTTCGAGACTCCAGTGCTTTCATGGACGTATAGGCTGGATAGACAAATCCAATTGCGTTGCAGAGCAGTTGAGCAGCAAATCCATACACAAGCCAGAGCGTAGTAAACAAGGTCAATCCTAAAATTAGGAAAGAAAAAGTGGGCAAAATCAAAATAATCTGAGGAAGTTATAATAATGAATAACTTACCTCCGGCGATGTACAACTTCGGCACTCCAGTTTTCTTCTCTACTAACGCGAGAGTATCGGTGAGCGGAGATTTCTGATTCAATAGGTCTTCCACTTGTTTGCGATACTGTTGCAATGCCATTTTGATTTTGTTTATCAGATTCAAAGATAATAAAAATTCAGAATACTGAATCTGCGAAAAAATAACATACAGCGTTAAAATTCGTGAATTCCATTGACAGCATGATATAAGCCACGAACAGGTAAATATCAGGTTGGAAGTATAAACCAATTTTTTTTATAATAAAACAATGTCATGCAATGATCACTTCTCTCGTTTTCGCGAGATACGCTTGGCGGTGGCGAATTTGCTAATAATGTCCGCAACTGTGTTCTTGTGATCAATTATGCCAGCCATATAGGCCTGAGATTCTCGATTCTGTTCCTGCGTCTCCTTGACTCTCTGAATATTGCTTAGAAACAGCTCCTTCAACAAATGCATTTGTGCACTTGAAAAACTTGGCGCCCACGCCATCGCATCTTCCATCAGCGATACCAGATCACGTTCCATATCGGAATCGTCCACATTCTATTATAAATGAGCATAAAAACATGTGTGACACTTCAAAATGAAAATATTATACTACGCACCATTTGGCAAACCAATTCATCCTTCATAACGAAACGATAACCTTCTGATTTTCTCGCCACAAATTTCTGCGAAGCCAATTCGACCGCCGAAGGTATGCGGGAGTATTTCACTTTGAAATTTCCGCTAGGAAAGTGATTATGACGAGGATTCCACCTGCACTTATAACTTCCCAGAATGGAGGGCTTTCGGTTGCGCTCATTGTCCATGCCGAGATTCACGGCTAGAAAGTCTGTTTCTCGTTTTATGCGCTTCTTGGGAACTAGTGCTGCAGAAAAAAATATTCCGTAAGACAAAGCAAGGTCAATCCCAAGAATACAAGTACAGTACTCGGAAGAAAATCATGATAAAATACTAGATTTCCGGGAGGGGGAATCAAAATTAGCGAAGAACCCACACAGTTCCCGAGAAAATGAAATTGAAACTCGTGCCAAAAGCAGCCGCAACATACGAGGTTTGTCCCACTTGAGCGCCACTTGGTTATTCCTAGAGTAGGTATGACTGAAAAAAAAAAATGATGATACAGCACATGAAGTTGTATGGTTCTGGATTTTTTCGGATGTCTAAAAACATTTTTCAATTTACCGCATGATAGGTAAAAACTTTCCAATTACAGCCGTAGTTCTCCACTCATTTCACTGGGTGCTAAAAATTAGTCAGGCCAGCTGAAGATTGAAATTTCATTGTTATTTCAACCACCCACTGAAATATAAAAAATTTAATCGTTACAACAAAAAATTTCAATTTTTTAGCCATCCTGATATTTCTTCAACACCCTGTGACATGGATGGAGAACTCTGGCCGTAACAGGAAAGTTTGTTCTTCTTCCGTAAATCGAAAAATATTTTTAAAAATCCGAAAAAATTCCAGAACCTTACAATTCATGGGTTTTATCATTTTTAGAGTCATACTCACTCCAGAATTAACCAAGATCACGCACAAGTGGGACAACCCTCGTATAGAAAAACGTTGTTCAGTGCGATTCTTACCTTGAGTGAGCAAAGGAGTTCGTTTGATACGCAATTTACGACCTCCAACATCTGGTGGAGGTTTTTCATTATCATCCGATTGGTTCTTCTGCTTCTTGCGTTTCCCTGGAAAAAGTGGCTTTTCTTCGGAAGAGACATCAGGCTTTAAATCCAGTTCCGGAGACTGATGGCTCGACACCTTTACGGACCCTTCTTTCCTATCGAATTCACTAGTAACTTCCGACTTCACCTTTTCTTCAGTTTTCACGAGTGGGCTTATTTTGTTGAGAAATGAAGGGGGAGGAACAACCGGTAATGCAGGCTTCTTCTCGTGATCAGTCATAGGATCATCTGCTTCTTTCTTCAGGTAATGAAATTCTTCACCTGAAAGAAACAAATAAACGTTCAATTGGACTGGACTCATAAAAAATGAATCATGAATCATAGCTCTGTTAAAATATATGAAGCCAGAATGTCTTACACGACTATCTGCCGCTCTTTCCCACAGCGAATAATTCCCTTTAAAACGAATTTTGAAAAAGCCTGTACAGTACAGTATTCGAAATACAGAATCGTCTAAGAATTGTGTTGACCAGGAAATAAAATATGTCCGGACGTTTTACTGCTAACAAGAGTGAAAAATAAATAATTTTAAAATTCGTAACCAACTGACAGAGTACTCCCAAGGCGAGAGTTTCTAAATGAAAACCCTTGGTGAGACTTGTCATTTCACATTCAATTCTTGCTCTTCCTAATATGTAAGCGGTATTCTCCCAAAATAATTCCATTCCAGCCTGTCTATGCACTTCGACCCCTGAAAGGACTGACCAAAATAAGGGTTTGACCAAGAATATGCTTCATGCAACTCAAAATCAGATTACAGCCTGTAATCGAAGGCACCCTACGATCACCGAGATTCTTCGAGTAACATATACAGTACGCTAATCTTTCATCACTACGTCATCAACGCAGGTAAAATATTACAGTATTATTATTCCATCATCGAAATTCACGATCAACCGAATTAATATTTCGACTTAATAATTTGAATACCATGAATACCTGGTGAAGAGGTGGCAGAGAGTGTGCTTGAAGAATTGCTGTCTCCATTCCACGGAGAAGGCGGACGTACGGACAGGGACAACGCTGACTTGGGAATGTTTCCACCAACTGACCCTAATTGAAGCGTGCGAATTCCTTGCATGTCTCCTTCGGACTTGGGCATGAGTTTGGATGGTACTCGCGAAAATCTAGTCGGGGACGTGCTTGACCCGCAATTTGAAGCAACAACGGGACGCTCTTCAGTAATGAAACATTCAACACAAAAATCACTTTCACTCGATCAACCGAATAGGAAAGTTGCCAACCAGGTTCGAACAGGCCCAAAACAAACTCACCGATAATTGGAACAGTTCGTAAGCCAGGTACATTGACCCTCGCGTTACTGAGAGGAAACTGCATCTGCGAGCTTACAACTTGAGTTGAGGTTCCTTGAGTATTCGTCGAAGGAAAGGTTGCTAGTTTTACTGATGAAGCAGCGGAGCTAGGAAGCACAGCAATTCCGAGTGGCGTAGAAGGTCGAGGCTGTTGATTTCCTCTTTCCGCTCCGGTAGAAACTGGTCCGTAGAACAAGAGAGAAAAGAAATCACCACTTAAAATTAAGAACATATTTAATTTTTTTTTCAACGCAGGACATATCATACAAGTGGAGCGTATGAAGTATACTACTGGATTTTATCCCTGAATGTCACGCAGGAGCGAAAAATTATGCTTACAAATCGTAACTGTCTGATTTCCCGTCCGAACAATCGATCGTCCACTTGCTACAGTAACAGCGGGACTTCTTGAAATCGGCAAGACCGAGGAACCACCAATAATGACCGCTTTCGTCGGTCTAACCTGATCCATAGGCACGCGAACCGGCTGGACACCTTCAAAATGAGCACAAAAATCAAACTTCATGGGCCATCAATGAAACTTACGAATAAGCTCACTATGGACACCAACAAAACTTGAAGGAATCGAAACTTGTCCGGTTCCATCCGCGTTCACTGGGTTGAATACTGCTTGTCGTTGAGGGATGACACCGATATTCGAAGACGCGATCCTACTTGCGATAGTGGGAACATTAGCAGCGATCAGCTTCGGAACTTGTTGAGATGATTTCGACACTGAAACACTCGCCACAGATCCTACAGAGGTGCAGGTTTAAGCACAGTCCTACAGAGATATGTCAAATGTGTGTTTCTAGTATAATACCTTGAGCGATATGAACCGGAATCGTTGACACTTGCGTTCCTTGTGAAAGCACGTTACCACTGTGCACGGCGGCAATAGTCACAGAGGAAACGGGTCGGGCAGATACTGGAATAACGTGAGCTTGAATTGGAGCGCGCACCGCTGCGTTGGGAGCAGATGACAAAAGAATGGTGGGTAAGCCGCTATTCTTTCCAGTGGGATTCGGATGAATGATCCTGGTCACTCCAGGAACCTGTAAATTCTGAAATCGACTGTCATAACACGAGTCTAAAATACGGAACAATAAACACTTATTTACTCACAGACGGAATCGGAGAATCAGTTCCAGTTGAGACTAGCAGGGGGGAGGCGGTAGGCGCGCCTGATCTACTAGCGAGATCCATTGGCTGAGAATTAGCTTGACTTTGATGGCGTACCAAGGGTGTGATGATTCTTGGCGCTGAATATGCGGAAGTGTGAGGTACGTCCCGAATTTCCATAGGACGCGATGGTCGAGTCGGCAACGGAGAAGCTCTCGCAACAATGGGAACCTTTTTCTGTCTTTCGCTATCCATATTTAAAAAAAATGCACCTGTGATAATGACAATGATTACATCAAGTTACGTGATACGCCCTCCTTTTTCCATCACATTCGCACTAATTCAACGCTGGAGTGCACTCACATTTGGTCCACACCGAAGTGTGAAACAAAATGAACTAGGTATAGAGTCGATGTTCATGAAAACGCTAATTCGGCACTACACTTCCACCCAGGCATCCGTGTAGGAATTATGATGGCAGGGTTGCAAGCTGACTGATACACGCATACACGTTCTAGGAACGACATCTATTTAAATATCGTTCGTTTGAACAACTCTTGGTCCGAACCGCGTAAGTTTTTACTTCAAGAAATCGTGGATATTCCCAACTTCCGGATTCAATACCGAACTCACAGGAACAGTACTGTACTCACAATTCCTCTCAAAAAATTTTTTCGGAAATAAGACGCCATCATTTATTTAACTTGCACCGGAAGTCAAGGCATTAAATCAACATTACGGCCCACGCCCGTCCCTAAATTTTTCACACGACGCGGCTTTGGAAAGTTGCCAGACCTGCACACACTATGGGCAGATTGAAGTCCTCAACTGGTTCCTGACACGTGGCCGACATTGAATATAATGGTGCTCAGCACCTCACAAATTAACATGTAACTACAGTATTGTACAGTACTGTCAAATATAGAGTTTTGAAGAAGCCCCATCAGAAATTTCATTCTTACACAGATCTCTAAAAATATGAGGCCTACAAGTTTTTCTTTCAATTGAATCTTGGAAGTAGAAGTTTAAAAGAATAATAGACTAAATAATCTCCAGTCTCATGAAATGTGTAACAGAAAATTTCAGTACCAATCCTCTCTCATCGAAATCCAATGGAAGATTTTCAGTGTGAGGATTTGCTTCATTCAGTCAGGCACGAAAAAGGAATCGAAAGAAGGTTACATTAGTAAGAACCGAGGGAAGAAAAAAAATCAATCAGGAAAACGCAGCACCACTTTCAATCATAAAATAAACGAAAGCACTTTTATTTGAACCGGAATAAAGATATTACATGACACTCGCGAAGGTAAGATCAGCTAGCCCGCAAAATACTTCGAATGAGAAGATCCACCAGAAGAACAGAATGTCGTGTACTGTTTTCAATTATGCATCAGTAATATTTTTAACGGACAACTACAGGAAAATAATTGTCAAACCGTACGGCAACACCGTGGATATTAAAAAAGGGCACATAAGCATGACACCATTCAGCACGATTAGCGGACTTGAAAGTACTGTAATACAAGGGTGAAACTGCTGGTGCATCAAATGAAATTCTGACAGCGGTGAGACATTTCTAAGCTTGCGTAACGTTGAAAGCAAATACGATAAATGCCTTTACAAAAAAACTGAATTCGAAGTACAAGGTTCGACTTGCCGTTTCAATTCCGACCATTTATGTCAATTTCAGAAGAATGGACCAAATTTCTTGAAACCAGTTTCCCATTATAAGAAATAGACGCAGCACGACAAAAAACACATTGAACTTTGCATTCGATTCCCTGATAAAAAATCAAAATGGAAAATTACCTATTACAAAAACTTCAGTTTTACTGATTTAAACAGCAAAATCACACGACTTCATTTATTTTGCTTCAGACCCATAGACTGAAGAAGCTCTTCAATGATGATGGATAGTTCATTGATCTGCTTTTCTTTCTGTGAAATTATCACCTGAGCAGATGAAAATTCGGTTTCCACCTTTTTGAGTTGGCACTTCAGCGCAGAAACTTCAATGTCCTTCGAAGCTTTTATCTCGTGCATGTCATTCAGGGCACTGTTGAAAAAAAGTTTTCATGAAAAAAAAAAATCAGAAGAAATGCGAGCTTCCTCGAAACTCAATTCAAAAGAAGAACATTTTGAAGCCAAACAAAAACTTACCGATCCAACTGTTTCTGAGCATCGTCTTCAATTTTCTGGACCCGACTTTCGCTTTGAAATGTTCTTGCTCGAGCTTCTTCTAACGCCTCCTTCAACTTGACTTCATTGCTCATCTGTATTTGCAGAACTTCTTTCATTCTCTCCGATTTCCTGAAAGATTAACAAGATATGGGCGATGAACGAAGCGAGACACAATCTACTAGAGAAACTCACTTATGAATACTGTTGAAAGCAATTTCGGTTTCTCTGAGGTCTGCTATCTTCTTCTCGAGGTCATCTCTCAGCCGCTGGTTTTCCGACACAAGTGCTTCATACTGCGAATCCAAAATAGAGCTTCCAAAATTTTTCGTCAGCATGAATTCTGAAAATGTTTTTTCCATATCCCGTATCACAGTCCTGGAGAACAACAAATATGCACCGGATGAGAAGAAAAATCGCTTTTTGAACCTTCAGACGATGACGGCCAATTCAATTTTAGCTAAAAGGGAACTATCGACGTTTATAAATTCAGCGATGATGAGACTCACACAAGCTGTGATTTCTTTGATGTCAAGACAAGGTTTTCATGCTCCAAATTTTCGACGCGTTTCTTCGAAGTTTCCAGCTGTGTCTTCATTTCAGCATGCTGACGAAGCAATGTTTCATGCTCAGCATTTAGACTGGATAATTTTTCAACGGAATTCTCGACCGCTTCTAGACGAGACTGCAATTTTTCGTTCTCCTACAATAAAAAATCAAATGATGACTTAGCTCACTCGATACATTTTCAACATGATGTGGATAAATACTACGAAGTACTGTACAAAAATTAGCGAACTACTAACCTCACAAAAATGTAGCTTATGGAGGTAAGGATTTCCCGGAGTGTTCAACATATAAAATTCATGTCAAAATTAGGCGAGGCAAGGTGAACCACAAAGAAAAAAAAAATCGTAGCATCACGCGTACAATTAAAAGTGTTGGGCGCCTAAAAAAGCAACAAATATAGACTTAGAAGATGCCGAACGCTGTCCTCTCATTTCCCAGGCGCTTGTCACGAGCCCGTTTCTTTCCTCGGATATTGACATTTCTCTCTTCACCTCGAACATTACAACCTTTTCAATGAAAATTTTCAGTGGATGTTCATAACTCCCTTGAATTCCCCTGTGGATCCATAAATCCCTTTTCAGTACAGATCTCCTAAAATTAGTACGTCAGCACAACGATTTTACCGGCTTTACTCAGTTAACGACATACAGTAAATTCAAAAGCTGTCCAGAGCTACGTAGCAACTTGTCTCCTCGAGCAAGCACTCGTCTCAAACCATCATCAGCTCTTCATCAATAAATGAGTACCGATCATAATACATGATCTTCCTGAAGCACACTCACTTTTAAGATCTGCTCTCGCTCAATCATCAGCTGAGCTAATTGAGCAGAGGATTCATCAGATTTCTGAGCGACCGCAGGCGTTTTTCGAGCCGGCGTAGCATCAATGGCACCAAGAACATTTTCACCCGTATTCTTGATTACAGTTTCATCCAATTGACCCGAAACCGACTCATCGCCTTCTTCCTCCTCCTCTTCTTCATGTTTAGGCGATAATATCACGTTTCTGAGCATTATGCTTTGTTTCAGGGGTTCATTTTGAACAGGTTCCTCATCGATCAGCGAGAGTAATGCTTGCGTGCTTGTTGACTGATCCCCAGCCAAACTAAAAAAAAAATTAATTTTCGTCACAAATGTTCAATATAATCAGTCTTTCATGTTCAACCTTTCGCGAAGGAAACGACGAATACTCTCTCTACGGCCGGAACTCGAAGAGTCATCCCCAACCAAGGGGTCGAATGAGCGCAGCACACTGATCCTAGAAAGAACCTTCTCACGATTTTGAAGCGTGAGAGACTCCAACTGCTCAACAAAATCAGGATCATTGAAGATGACTGCAACACATTTGAGAAAATGGAAAATACAACCATTGGCAATCGTAAATAATCGAAAAATAAATGCGAAGGACTTACACTGGGCTCCATCACGGAAATCACAATTCAGCGTGGCAGCCTACGGAAATTGACAAGAACTTTTACGAACATTATCCCAAAAAGGAAAAATAAATCAGATGGACGTCGAAACTTTGCTCACCATTACTTCTTGATCCTGATTATCATCGGCGACTGCAACATGCATCGGGCTACTCGTCAAAGAACTTCCGCTCTCCACATCACTAGCCGCGCCATTCACATTTCCGGCAGAACTTGGAGGCCCAGAACCGCACAATTCGTCGAACACACCACTGTCAGTGGTTGTAGCCGAAGGTTTCGCGATGCCAGCAAAAGGCGTGAAACTTGGATCATCGAGAAGTTCAGCGTTGAAAACATGAACAGCTGGCTTGATCGGAATATCGTCCACATTTCTTGGGGGCATTTCCCTCGTCTTTGATGGAGATGAAACAATTTTCTTGCTTTGTTCTTCGACCGAAACAAAAGGATTAAAGTCAGGGTCGTCTAGGAAGTCGAGTTTGTACGATCCCTTCGATATTGGCTTCTCCTCGACTGGAACATCCTCACCAGCTCCCAACCGTTGCTCGTCCGGTTTCGCAGCAACAGTATTCTCCGCGACAGCCATGGGATTCCCCACATCTACTGACGATGCAGAATCACCTTCAGTAGACGCGTTGGGAGTAACTTCTGTTTCTGTCAAATTTTGCGTGTATGTACAGATCTCGTTCACCAATGGCGAATCGAAATCCTCAATCGCTACGTTTTCTCTTGAATGCTCAACCACAAAACTCTCGTCAGGTGACGGATCGCCACTTAGCGATTCGATCAGTGGCGTGTTGAATGTTTCGGTCACATTCAGATTTTGACACTGATCACGTCCCGCGTCGTCAGAAACAGGTTTTACGCATATTTCTGAGGATTCCAACACTAAAATTTCAGCACCTCTGTCATCGAAAACTGGTAGTGCAGAATCTTGTGTTTCTGTAATCGCACTGCAACACTCATCCGTGAGATCAGCTGTTTCGACTTGCTGAATGACTTCTACATGAGTGCACTGCACAAGCTCTTGATCAACCGGTGTTTCTTCACACGCTTCTTCCGTTTTCGACAGGGATGATTCCGTTTCAACGCAAACGTTCAACTGCGGTTCATTCTCGGTTGTGAAATTCACAACCTCCTCGGTTGGCTCGACAAATGATATTTGCCTCAGCGAGTCGTCCTTTTCGTGCTCGTTAGAAGCTTCAGTTCTCGAAGTAGACTCCTTCACGACGTCTGAATCGGAAGGCTCTTGAACACCCAGAGATGAGGAGTCTTCCGTTTTGATCAACTTTTGCTCCGCGGCCGGCACAAATGGATTAAAGTCGGGGTCATCCAGAAACGACAAATTATAAGATCCTTTTGGGGCAACAGGAATATCATCAAATGTTTGAGAAAGGACGTCAGCAACAACAGTAGTTTCCGACGCACACTGCTCTTTATCTAGTTGCACTTCGGTCGTGACTGATCGCGGTAGTTCTTCGAATTCATCCCCAGCTGTGGTTCTCAAAGCGTCTTCAACACTTTTCAAATTTTCACCGGAGTTATTGAGTAGTTTCAGCCCGCAGATTCCGTTGATCAACTCGTCAATCAAGTCATCGTGGGGAACAGGTTGCAAGTCTACTTCCGCGAATGGAGCTGAAGCTTCAGAACTCAGGCTTCGGCGTTCGAGATCGTGAACGTAGGCCTGTTCTGACACACTCAATCCCAAGCTTGATAGTTCAGTGGAGCCTTGCGGGACCGATGTCAGTCCGTCCAGCTCGTCCAGGCGATAAATGCTCCGAGGATTAGAAACACGACCACCAGTTTGAAAATTCGGAGACACAGTAGATGACCCTTCTTCAGAGCAGTCTTCGAACTGAGCCACCGACTGGAGACTCAATCGGTTCCCGCACGTTGCAAACGATGCATTGGTTTCTGGAATACTCTCGTCCGCAGAGGCGTATTCATCGTCAGAATCGGAATCTGCAAGATACGGCAGTAAAACCTTTAATAAGGTAGTGCAACAACCCATAACAAATGCTCCGGTAACGAGACGAATGCGCGACACTCCCAAAACCTTCACTCACGTATTCTCATCAGTAGGTATCGGTCCGAGAACTTAAATTTAGATAACGCACGTTTCCGGCAGTTCTAACTGAAACTACTGTAAGTCACATGTACAACGAAGAAAAATCACTGGAGAGCAATCGTAAACATCGCTGGGGAATATCTCCTTATCTCATTCCAGCAGTCGAGAGGGGGTGCACTTAACGTGTTCTTGATTTATGAACCTTTGGCCCATGTTGGTGGTTAAGAGGGGGCACACTCCCAAGCCTGGATTACGAGAGCGCACTCCGGACTTGCCCTTTCCTACGCTGGCATCCCCAGAGCGTACGATGGCATAATTTACAGATGTAGAATATTGTTTTCGTATTTGCGCCCTTGAAGACAGTTATTTCTAAGTTTTGGAATTATCAGATGTTTCCTGTGTAACCTGAATCGAAGAGCTTCCAAATTCAAATATCCACCTGTCAACCAAGAAGCAACGGACAGTGGTGAAGTAAAGTTGAAGCCCTTTAGTTAACATTTTTTGCAAACAACAAATGGACTAGTTGTCTAGCTTTAGGTTAAGGTTGCCATCCAGAAAATCAATAGGCATCAGATCATACTGTTCTGAATTGTACAATACTTCAGAAGCTTGCAGTGCGTACACCAAAAGAGTTACACTGCCGTTTTCGCCTTGATGCTAGACAAATAAAATTGAAAATTAATTTTCACCAAAGTACCATATCTACTCAGGAACCATGCGCCATCACGTAAGACGCACACCAGGGGTTTTCAGTTGAAATTGTGATACAATGGTACCTATGAGTAAGAAACGCACCCAACGACTCTAGATGTACTAAAACCAAAATATTTCAAAAATAAGAACACCCAAATTCGACTTCAGGCACGAAATGGACCTGGATTCAACTAATTTTCCCATTTTTCCATTAAAATAAGTTTTTCTGTTGAAATTGGTCCGAGTTTTCTCATTTGGAATAAGTATAATTCACATCTAAATTTCTAAAAAAAAATGCTGAAAATCTTATACCCGCCAATAATGCGGACCCTTTTCTCCTCTCACATTAAATATAAAAAAAATGTGAGCACGGTACTGAAGTACATACAGTAGCTATACATTTCTTCACAATCCATGCAGTATGTAAACAGCAGATTTTGGGGGTTTCATCAGTATAAATCTGAGTGATTATGTTATTAATCATGCATCTTTGAAAAAGTAGAAGCAACATACCCATCCTCGGCACAGCAGTTACTGCCGCAGGGGAATCGGTATTCGGCAATTGCACATTGACCGAAGTCGATGGGGAAAACACCTTCGGCAAAAAAAGAGACGAATAATTAGTTTTTAAGATACACTCGGAAATAACACAGCATTACACTCATCTAAAACCGATGAAAAACGCCCACAATTCAATCCTCATTCCTGGACTTGATCAAAACACTCGGTGAAAATCACCACTCCCGTTTTTTTTATGTTCAAACCTTTCAAAGTAATCCATTCGGTGCAAATGTAGTGCGATATAAACCCCCAAATATTTTGAACTCCATTTCAGTCATTCTCCAAGTCGAAATTTGTACAGGAATTCGTGGATTGGGATAATTCATCTCATGCAATGATGGGTTGTGGATAAATTAAGAGGCTACAAGTTTTTGCTACGCTACGTTGGGACACTTACACAATACAGTATCACAAGTAAGTTTAATACAGCATTTTGTTTTAATTTACTGTACAGTACAGTATATGACTCGAATAACCAGCAGAATCGAAATGCAAGGAACTTGGGAGATCTGTTCCTTCTTTTCCGAACAGCCAACGCTGTCATAATAACGTAAATGAAGTCATAAACTCATACTAGAGAAAATGGAAAGTGTTAAAAATAACTTGAAAATATCCAATTTTTTCCGAGGTACATTAGTACATCTCAAACCATTCAAGGGATCATTCTTTAAAATATGCACTGTACATATATATTTTCTCGGCCCGACCCACTTCGTATATCCGATATAGTTACAAGGCGTCTCAAAAAGCTTAAAAAAAATCACACAAATGAACATTTAAATTGAAATTCGAAACTAAGCAGAAAATATTCCGCATCGACGAGCGTTTATCCGACGCGAAACCCAACAAGGGGGAAAGTACTTTTATCGATTCCGTCTCAAAACGAGAAGAAACACGTGTTCACATCTGTGTACAGTACACGACAGTTCAACACCTGTCTCCTCGAAAAGCTGCTCATAAGAACGCACAAAATTTCGAAATTCGACTGAAAATCCAGAATTCAGCGTATGAATCCAGTTATATTCATCAGAAAAACAGATTCGAACACTATCGCGGTCTCACGCAACATTGCAATCCAGGAGCCCAGTTGAAAGCATCGACAAAGAACTTTTGATGTAAAAAAAAAAAAAAAAGAAAATGCAATGATGGGTTGTGGATAAATTAAGAGGCTACAAGTTTTTGCTACGCTACGTTGGGACACTTACACAATACAGTATCACAAGTAAGTTTAATACAGCATTTTGTTTTAATTTACTGTACAGTATATGACTCGGATAACCAGCAGAATCGAAATGCAAGGAACTTGGGAGATCTGTTCCTTCTTTTCCGAACAGCCAACGCTGTCATAATAACGTAAATGAAGTCATAAAATCATACTAGAGAAAATGGAAAGTGATAAAAATAACTTGAAAATATCCAATTTTTTCCGAGGTACATTAGTACATCTCAAACCATTCAAGAGATCATTCTTTAAAATATGCACTGTACATATATATTTTCTCGGCCCGACCCACTTCGTATATCCGATATAGTTACACGGCGTCTCAAAAAGCTTTAAAAAAAATCACACAAATGAACATTAATATTGAAATTCGAAACTAAGCAGAAAATATTCCGCATCGACGAGCGTTTATCCGACGCGAAACCCAACAAGGGGGAAAGTACTTTTTATCGATTCAGTCTCAAAACGAGAAGAAACACGTGTTCACATCTGTGTACAGTACACGACAGTTCAACACCTGTCTCCTCGAAAAGCTGCTCATAAGAACGCACAAAATTTCGAAATTCAACTGAAAATCCAGAATTCAGCGTATGAATCCAGTTATATTCATCAGAAAAACAGATTCGAACACTATCGCGGTCTCACGCAACATTGCAATCCAGGAGCCCAGTTGAAAGCATCGACAACGAACTTTTGATGTAAAAAAAAAAAAACAAAAAAAAAGATCCCAGTCAAGCCCAGGGTCTTATAAAGTCGGAAGGGTTTCTCTGCACAGAAATTCAACCGAGAAACAAACAGACCATTAAATTGTTATATTTTTTTCAGCATTGACCCGCATCCAACTACCGCTTTTGAAAGATAGGACGAAAGTCGAAAAAAGCAACACAACAGCTCGGAACGTTTCAACAGTCTTACACGTGCTCAGAAGAACTTCCTACCTTGCAGTATTTCTTAGTTTTACCGTCAGACATTCATGGAGTTTAAAAGAATAAACACTGTATTACGCTGTTTACGTTTCCCATCTAAAACATAAAAACATCCAGGTCAAGCCCAAGTCTAGTTTTTCTGAGTTTAAAAATGAACTTGAATTTTATTCAATCCAACACATCAAAAATACACCAGATGGGATTCTCACAAAAATCGAAGCAAAACCACTAAACAAAAAATTCTTCTCCAAATCTCGACTCATAGGGGAGGCAAATTGCTCGGTAGTTTTAAAACTCGCATTTACATTGGATGTCATTCGAGAAACACATGGAATCTTGGAGCCCTTTCGCTTGTCGATCAGTGCAGTGCAGTCAAGGCAAGCTTTGTTTGTTGATCACTTTCTATCCTATCCACTATCATAATGAGCGAATTTCGTAATTGGGAGAAAGCAATCCTATCTTGATAGATTTATCGTGGACAACAGCGACTCAAGCACAGCACGAAGAGCGATAGCCAGTTTTCTTCAAGAGCAATTGTTGTTTTTCGGTTTTATTTTCAGCAACTACAGGTGGACTCTTTCTCTACAACGAAATTCAAGGGACCAGAAAAAATTCGTCGCATAAAACCCGGCCTATAGCATGCAGAGAAACCCTTTTGGGACGAAAAAAGAATTGTTATACAGTATAGAGAAAATCGTTGTAGACAAGATCGTCCACCTGTGTCAAGTCCAAAAATGCACTATACAATGGAAAAATCATCTCAGGTACATTTTGAACCTTGAACGGATCGAGGAAGTTCCACAATATGGGCTTATGAATACGTCGGAAAGGTTCGAAGGAAAAGCTTGACGAGGGGAAACACGTACTGTACTACACAGATTATAAAAAAAATATCATTTAATTTTTTGGCAATCTTCGCATTTTCGCTCATGCCCGAGAAGTAATAAAAATACTGTTTTTTAAATTATTTCCCATCAAGTCATAAGGGGAAACGCTGTTCGACACCTGGATGTAGTTGAAAGAAGAACTTCCCTCCGATTCAATTCGGGATGAGACTATTTTTAATTCGCTCTCAACTGTGTCTGACTGCCAAATACGAACACTGTCAAAATTTGTGGACGAATTTTTCATGCTGATTACAAATGATTACAAATTTACAATGCAGTTACTTTTCGAAAATACAGTAGAATTTTCATAAAAGAAAGCAGTAAAGTAATCATTCACATCAAAATCGTTTTCTAGGTCCCTGCGAAATAGCCATAATGTCGAATGAAATAATTCTACGACTTGTTTGTCACAACGAAGCTATTTTTGTTCCGAATGGCTTCGTTGTAACGGGATTTTACTGTATATACAAGTCAGTACTGTACAGTATTAGATTCTTCGCAAGAGGATAAAGAAGTTCACATGGAACTGCTCTTCTGACGAAAATTGCTACAACAGTTGTAATTCAGCAAGCTTGAATTCCAACAAGACAAAAACTATCTTTTTGAATCGCAATTTCTCGCTATCTCCAGATTCCCACAAACATTTCACCGACA